GAAGATTGGCATGGGAGGGAGCAGAGTTTAGAGCTGTTTTGCATAGGGTCACTATGAGTCACAGTCAACGTAATGGCATAAAACAACAACTTTTAGACATGTGCACTCTAGTATTCCAAATTTTGTTCTCAAAATTTGGTGAATTTTGGAGTAGTTACTCAATCTAGCATTTGTATTTCTGGTACTCACAGCCTTTGAATTTTTTGTTTTCTCTCACAATATATTTAAGAAAAATTTCTGTGTTATTCACGTACCACAAAATTGACCTCTTCAAGTGTACAATTCAGTGGTTTGAGTATATTCACAAAGTGGCGTAACCATCACCACTAGCAAATTCCAGAAAACTTTTGTCACTGCAAAAAGAAACCACGTGGATGATAGCAGCCAGTCACCACATCCTCCTCCTGCTAGCCCCCCTGCAACCACTCGTTTGTCTCTGTGGATTAGTCTACTCTAAGCATTTCATATAAATGGAATGTATAAGTGTGGTCTTCTGTGACTATCTTATTTCCTGACAATAATATTTCAAGGTTGATCCCTTGTATACATCATACTAGAACTTCCTTCTTTTCAAGAATCAATAATATTCCATTGGGTGGATATACCACATTTTGTTTTCCCATTCATCAGTTGGTGAATATTTTGGAGTGTTTTCACATTTTGAGGCATATGGTAACTTTTCAGGTTACCTTTTCAGAAGTGCTAGATCTTTCTCCGAAAGTGGATGTACCATTGTACATTCCTGCCAGTGGTGGATGAGAGTCCCAATTTCTATTTCTTGTCTCTGATTATAGTCATTCTGGCAGGAATAAAGGGAGCTCTGGTGGTCTCATGGCTAAGGAGTTGAGTGGCCAATCCAAAGGCAGGCAGTTTGAATCGACCAGCTGCTCCACAGGAGAAAGAGAAACAGTCTCCATGCGATTTTCAGTCTCTGGAAACCTGCTGGACCGTCAGCTAGTTGGTTTTGGCTCCCTGGTAAATAACAAGAAGTGGGTATGAAATAGAGTCATCATTTTGTGTTTTTCCAAAGTCCTTGCCGTTTATTTATTTACTTCTTTATTTGAAACTTTTTATTGTGAATTGGGTAAAGGTGTAGAGAGAAAACCAGTTTTCCATGCAAATTTCACTTCAGGTCATTGATTACAATCCTCATGTCACATCACTTATGCCACTCCCTCCCAGTGTTCGTTCCCCCCCCCCTTTTTTTTATTGTGACTTGACTGAAAGTTTACAGAGCATATTCATTTTCCAGTCAATTGTTTATGTACATCTTGTCTTGGAACATTAAGTATAATGCCCACATAGTGTCTCCTTATCCATTCATTCCATATTGCCTTTTTATTTACCTATCTCAGTAAGTATTATTTATCTGTTAATTAATTTTATACTACCTTCTTACTCTCTGAGGTAACTAGAATGATCTTCTTAGTGTTTCTTATGTCTATCCCTCCTTTCCTAACCTTTCCTGTATTCTACACGTTGATGTAGGGCAAATGCCACCTTTCTGATTTCAAGTGGCTGATTGTTCTAAGGGGTGCATACCTCCCTAGTGGAGATATTTACTTTGAGACCTCTCTGCTGTTTGACTGAAAATTGAGGCACAAGAGTGAGTTCAGTCCAGGATTGAAGGGTGTCTAAGGGTCATAGGCTCGAGGGTTCCACCAGTCTTTATCTGATTACTCAGTGTTAACAGTTTTTGAATTTTCAATTTTCTTCAACATTTTTCTTCCTCTCTATCCAAGACGTTCTGATAGAATCCCATTCCAAGTGGTTGATAATGGTAGCTGGGTACCATCTGATCTCAGGATCATGGAAGCTGAAGTTCGCCTGGTCAGTGTCTTTTACCCTGATTGTTTCCATGTGACTTTGATTTTCTTCACTCTTCTTTGCTCCTGAAGGGAAAGACCAATAGTTGCACCTTATTTGGCAGCTCACAAGCTTTCAAAAGCTCAGTCCCTGCTTATCAAAGAAAAGATGTAGAACATTTTCCTCTGGGAACTAAGTTGTGTTAATTGACCTTTATTGTCCCCCAAGACAATGGTCTTGAATCCTCAGACCCAGCAAGACATTCTCTCAAGAGGTTTGATTATGGCTAAGAAGTTGTTATGGTTTTGCACCCTGTGCCAGCCTCACCCACTGCCATCTAATCAGTTCTAACTCATGGCCATTGGGTTTCCAAGGCTCTAAATTTATATGGGAAGAAGCTGCCCATCTTTCTCCTATGGAATAACTGGCAGCTTAAAACAGCTAACGTTTTAATGTTTAAAAAAGAAAATTTTCTTTTAATTGTGATTTTTCATGAACATTAACAATGAACTTAGATTTAGATTCATTGTTGCACATTTTACCCCCCTCCCGCCCTTCTCCTTCTCCCAGTTTGAGGTTGTTGTTGTTAAGTGCCATCGAGTTGTAGGTGACTCATAGAAACCCTGTTAACAAAAGTCCTGAACACTTGCATGACTTTCATCCTTTCCTCAGGTTTATAGGGTTTCTGGAGGCAAGTGATTTTTTGGAAGTGGATACTACTCCTGCTTCCAAACTCATTGACGATTATCATATTTAACACTGCCTCAGTTTACTTTTCTTCTTCTAAATATTCTTTCATTGTTGTACAGTTACCTAACTTCTCCCTGACACCCCAGTCCTCTTTGCAATGATATATCTCTTATTCTGGGCTATTGTTATGCATATAATGCCTAATCATATATTCATTTTAGAAAGTTCTTTCCTTCATGCGTTCCAATGCTATGGCTATTATCTATCCGCTATTATCCTATTATCCTCCCAACCCCTAATATCAGACCTGGTTTATACCTGTGGTGCTATGCAGTATTTATCCTTTTGTGACTGCGGTATCTCACTCAGCATGATGTGCTCAAGGGTCTCCAATGTTGTATAATGTTTTATAAGTTCATTGTTTTTTCCATAACACCCAACCCTTCAGTTAATAGGTTGATATTGTGCCACCAGGGCACCTTTGTCTCCTGTGTGCTTTACTATATTCATGGATATCTTCACAGTGCATGGGAATACAAGTGGAGAAATAGTCTCTGTTAGACCTATATATGTTGTGCATAGATCCCCTTCTCAGATCTGTTCAGCTAGTGTTTCTATCTGTGCATTCACTTATAGATTATTGTTGTTGTTACGTGTCATTAAGTCATTTGCGATTCATAGCAACCCTGTGTACAACAGCCCTAAACCCTGCTCTGTCCTGTGCTGATCTCACTGCTCCAACACACCCACCTTGATTACCCCAGTCACTGAATCAGTCCACCTCATAGAGGGTCTTCCCCTCCTGTGCTGTCCCTCCACCCTCCCAAGCATGATGCCTCTCTCCAAAGACTGGTCCCTCCTTACAACATGTCCATAGTATATCAGACGAAGCTTCAGAATCCTTGCCTCCAAGGTGTAGCCTGGCTTAACCTTCTTCAGGATGAATCTGTTTGTTTTATTGGCAGTCCATGATACATTCAATACTCTTCTCCAGCACCACAGCTCAAAGGCATCAATTTTCCTTCTTTCCTCCCTAGTCATTGTCCAACTCTCCAATGCATAGCAAGTGATTGCAAAGACCATGGCCTGTATCAGGTGCACCTTAGTATCCAGAGTGACACCATTGTTCTTCGTACTTTGGAGAGGTCCCTAACAGCAGACTTTACCATCACAAAAAGTCTTTTAATTTCTTGGCTGCTGGTGCCAAGAGTATTGACTGTGGAGCTAAGCAAACTAAAGCTGTGAACCATCTCAATCTCTTTACCATCCATCCTGAAACTGCCAATTGGCTTAGTGGAGGGAATCTTTGTCTTCTTGATATTGAGCCTCAATCCATATTGAAGACTGTAGTCCTTGACTCTCTGCAGCAAGTGCTTCAGGTCCTCTTCAGTTTCAGCAAGCAGGGCTGGGGTATATGCATAACACAGATTGTTGATGAATCTTCCACCAATCGTGATGCCACACTTCTCCTCATATAGCCCAGCATCCCAAATAATCTGGTCTGCATATAGGTTGAAAAGGTGTTATTATTACTGTTATTGCATAGATGTATGTCTAAGAGTATTTACCACTGTATCCTTTCAGTCTTCTTCTACTCTCAGTATTTTCCTTTGCCTTGGTCATTTTAAGCTGACCTCATCCTTTATTATTGCCTCCCCTATAACCTAAGTCAGTATGTATGTATTTACCCTATGGGTATTGCTCATCTTGATAACATTATTTTCTTTTTATTACTGAATTGTAGTATTTCTTTATATACTACAGATACAAATCCCTTGTCAGATAAGTGATTTCTAAAGATTCACCTGTTTTTCTCTATAAACTGTTCTTTTACTTTCTTGATAGTGCACTTTAATCATTATGCATACTTGTTTTCCTGGAGAACATAGAACTTTGAAGACAGATCCTGCAAATTGAAAGGTCTTACTGTTGCCTGCATTGAAAAGCTTTATTAATTTTAATTAATCAGATTAATTGTGTTCAAATAATATTAAGTATAATATTCAGGATAGAATAAGACCTGGTTCTTTGGTGAAGATTTCTAAAGAATCTAATTCGTTGCAATTTAAGAGTAACTGATACATCACATTCTTAAATTCTGGATTTCACGTCTGTTTCTTTTAGTGTATAGAAAATAATAGTACGTATCTTGAGCTTGATGAAATGTTTGATCAAAGCTGACTTCTGTAATGGAAAGAATGTTGATGTTCCAAAGCATTTTTTATTTTGATTTGTGAAATATAGAATCTTGAGACACTAGTTGAGTCCATGTTGTTGTTGTTTTGTGTACTGTCAAGTCGAAACCAACCCATTGCTGACTCTCCAGCAGGTTTTTGGGGCAATTAATTGCACAGGAGGAGATTGCCCATCCTTCTCCCCTGAAGCACCTGGTGGCTTTGGACTGAGGGCCTTCAGGATGCAGCACAGCTTCTTGCCACTAGACCACCAGTGCTAAATCCATCGAGTTCTTTTGTTTTCATAGCTTGTTTCTGCTTATGTTTCAGAGCTCATGCAAACTGAAATGCATCATATCCAGACCCTCTTCATCATGTCTGAGATCTTCAGAAAAGGGATGAAAGAGGAGCTGCAGCTTGACCACAGCACTGTGGATAAAATCTTCCCCTGTTTAGATGAGTTACTTGAAATCCACAGGCACTTTTTTTACAGTATGAAGGAGCGAAGGCAAAAATCCTGCATCAATGATGATAGGAATTTTCTGATCACCCAAATTGGAGATATCCTGGTACAGCAGGTAAGAAGGACTTAACGGCCAGAGTCTCACAAGCCAAAGAGGGTCAGAAATCTGGGAGAAATGGGGCTGATTTAATGACTAGAGTTGCCCAGTGAGTTTGGTTGGTTTTCATATATTTATTCTTGGGCTTTGTGACTGTTGCCTCATAAGCAAATACTGACTCATTGAATTCTCATATTCATATGTCTCCTAAAAAGCATAGCAGGGATTCAAATAAAAATGATCTTGCGACACCAATAGCAGCATTCTGAGGCATCTTCTACTGTTACTAGCTAGATTGTAAGCCCCAGTGAGGCTTGTCTCTGGTTACTGCTCTGGTATTGTCGTGTGTAACTCATTGAGCTGCTAGTAAAAAAGATGAGTAGTTTGAATCCATCAGCTGCTCTGTAGAAGAAAGGTAGACTGTTTCATCCTGTAAAGATTTATATTCTCAGAAACTCAATGTTGGAATTGACTTTCAGTTTCCTTGAACACATTTGGAATCTGGACAATGGATAAAGATGATACATTTTGGTTATGGTATTGACAAAAAAATATTGAATAACTCATAGACTACCATAAGGAAAAGCAAATATGTCCTGGAAGCAGTAAAGCCAGAGTGCTCCTTGGAATTTAGGATTGTTAGGCTTTGTCTCACGTACTTTGTTTCTGTTATCAGAAGGGGCCAACCTCTTGTTAAGGACATTAAGTTTGGTAAAGTAGATGGTCAGCAAAAAGGAGAAGACCCTCAATGAGAAAGAGTGACATAGTAGCTGTAAAAATAGACTTGAATATAGCGATCATTGTGAAGATGGTGTAGGATTGGGTAACCCTTCATTTTAAAGATTATTTTGAGGGGGAAGGCTTGGACTCACAGTAAGGCTGGTGGTCTTCTAGTTGGACATGTTTCACCTTTGGGTAAAGGAGCTGTGTTTGTCAGAGAAAAAGATTTAAGTTTTATTTTACATTCCAATTGTTGGCCATGACTAGTGGTATAATGAATTGTTCCCTAGGTATTTTTTAAGGAGAGTGATCTTCTGAAGGTTAAATTAGCAATATCCAGTCAATGAATATGGTTATGACAGTCTATGGGCACAAAGATGGAAATAGCTAACTAAGGATGCATGACAAAAAGGTTTGGGAGCAGCCATAATATAATTGTAGCCATGCCCTATGATCTCAAAAAGCTGGAATGGAAGGTGCTGGTGATTAGTGAGTGGAAACAGGGCGTTCTGCTCATGTGCCCTGTCTCTGGAAACCTGCTGGAGGGCCAACTATGAGTCAGTTTCTATTTAAGGACAATGCTTGGAATTTAATATTTATAAAAAAATTTGCTGGCATTTTCGTGGAAATCATAATACACTTCTATGTCAATTTTAGGAAATTTGACATTTTAGCAGTGTTGAGTCTTCCAGTGCTATAGCCCTCCAGTTGCTTTGATCTTCTTTAGAATCATTCACTAGAATTGTATATTTTTCATCACATAGGTCCTAATTGTGTTTTATTATATTTAGAACTAAGCTTCTCCCTCCTCCCTAACTATTTTAAGTAGTTTAGCGTCTTTTGAGACATATGGCTCTCAAGCATGGATAAGACTCTATGCAAAGATCAAAACCATACAGTTTTATCTTTTTGGTATGTAAATTTTCAGTACTCTTAAAGAAAGGGATATGATCTGGTTTCTGCAACAATAATCTTTCATGTGAACACGTACGTGTAAGACTTTCATAGTCTGAAACATTTACATTTAAGGTCAGCCATTTCCCCATTCTTCCTATGCCAAAGTTGGTTGTCAGATTTCTTGGAGAAATTTTTCTACATGCAAACTTATTGATGTATTCTATCCCACATATCTACTTCTCTTCAGCAGTTAATAAATTGGTGTGCTATTTATTTATCATTCTCAGTTCATTATAGTGTGCCTCTGTAGTATATTCTTTCTTTTATATACATATTTCTTTTTTTACAGCATTATTCTTCCCATTTAAATTTCCCCCCATATATTCATTGTTTCACATTTTCCTCCCTGCCCACCCATCCTCCCAGTTTGCTTTTCTCTTTGAGAAGAAAAAAAAATTGTTTCATTGTTATACAACCCCACCCCCACCCCAAGTCCATAGTCCACTTTATTATGCAGTTCTTTCTCTGGGATCTTGTCATGAAAATAATACCTAATCATATATTCCTTTTAAACAGTTCTCTCCCTCTTTGGCTTCAATGCAGTATACATTATTTATCCCCTCTTTTCTTAGGTTCTCCACAACCCTAATGTCAGTCCCATTTTACATCAGTGACACTATGCAGTATTTGTCCTGTTGTGACTGAGATATTTCACTCAGCATACTGTTCTCCAGGGTCACCCATTTTGTATAATATTTCATGAGTTCCTTGTTTTTCAATGCAGCGTAGTATCCCATTGTGTGAATATACCACAGCTTCTCTATCCATTCATTTGTTGATGGACACTTGGGTTGAATAAATTCATTCTTGACAAACAGACAAAAGTAACATTCTAAAGTGAAGATTGACTTCTTGGAAATAGCCAAGTATTGTTAGGTACCACTAAGGCCCTCCCAGGGAACTGTGGCAGCTTAGTGGTAAGGAGTTGCTCTGTTAGACCAACAGCATTTCTCCCACCTTTTGCTCCATGAGAAAAAGATGAGGAATCTCTTCCTGTCTCTGAAAACTCTGGCGGGTCAGCTATCGGTTGGTTCCGACTTGACGGTACACAGCAACAGTAGAAGATAAATAGTACAACCATTAAGATGATAGAAGATAGTACATATTTTTCACCCAATCATTTGATAATTGAATTAGATAATATACAAAATATTGCACCATCAGATTACTCTCCCTTGCTACTTAATTTCTTTCCTTCTATGTTTAAAGGATGTGAGTAAAGAAGAAAATTGTCTTCCTGAATTACCTTATGACTGTTCTCTCTTTGCAAAAAAAAAATGTTGAAACATATAAAAAGTAAATTATTTTATAGTGTCCAACCTAATGACTAAATTTATAAATTTCAATGTAAATTTTATTCCTCTAAGTTTTCAGAAGAAAATGCAAACAAAATGAAGAAAATATATGGAGAATTTTGTAGCCATCACAAAGAAGCAGTGAGTCTCTTTAAAGAACTCCAACAGAATAAAAAGTTTCAGAATTTTATTAAGGTCAGTATTTTAAAATCCTGCTATAAATTGAAAAACCAGCATGGGGATGCCAAGCTTGTTTCTTATGTGGTTTACATAGAGTTTCACATCTAATTGTGGTTTTCAGAAGACGGACGTGGTAAGCTTATCTCAGTGATGAATACTTCCTTTTCTTGTGTTAGTAAAATACTTCTCCCAAATAATTTCCTTTTGTCATATTATGATGTCATAAATCCTTCAATTGTCTGAGCATATTTATAATACTCTGGGAAGCCATTTCATGCTCCTACACATTATTAAGAAAGATAATTGAAGTTGAAATAAAGCTAGGCTCTAGGCTCTATTATCCAAATAATGGGGCATATTTGAAATATTTAGAGAAATGGTATTCTACAGGTATGTAGAGAAACAGATTTGTTTTTCATGTACTTTAATAAGTGGACTATGGCTGGGACATTTAAAAATAATAAAATTTCAGAGTTTTAAAGACCGTGTTCTTTCATCCTGTTCAATCTGCTGATATGAATCACTGCGTCATCAGTTCTGAAAAGTAGAATCTTTCTAGTGGCCTAACAAGAAGCTGCACTGCAATCCCAGAGGTATGCGGTTTGAATCCACCAGATGCTCTGCTGGAGGAGGAATAATCTCCTCCTGTACCATTCGGATCTGATTTGACAGTACACATACAAAAAAATTTAAAAAAAAAAGTAGACCCTTAAACCTGACTTGTCAGGTAATACTTCTTTTTATGGTTCTAGATAGCAAGAGGGTCTTTCTAATGTTGAGCTGAAGAGAATTTACTAGTAACTTCCGCCCCTATTTCTATAGTTATCATGAGTATGTAAGGGGAGAAAGGAGTCTCAGGATTAAACAGAGAAATACATGACCAGGCAGATAGACCTAGCAAGTAACAATGAACAAACAAACAAACAATAACAAAACCCCATTATATTAAAGGAATGTCGAAGATATACAGGACAATAGAGCATAGTAGAGTGGCCCTCCCATGTAGCCATTGCCTAGTTTACATGTGATAACCCTCAATTCATAGCTACTCTCCTTTATACTTTTTATTTACCTGTCCCATCCCTACTAGGTTAGTTTGAAGCATATCTGAAATTCTTATCATTTATCTGTAACTATTGCAGAATGTATCTCTAAACAATATGATCTCTTTTAAAAATAATGAAAATGTTATTATCCCACTTGAATATATTAATAATTCTTTAATAACAAATAGCAGGCCAGTGTTCATATTTGCCTGATTATTTTGTGCAATTGTACTGTTTAAACCAGGATCTGGTGAAGGTTTACAGAGTGTATATGCAGTTACTAAATCTCTTTAACCTAAGTTTTTCCTTTCCTTTTTTAAATTCCAATTTAAAGAAATTTATCCTGTAAAGTTCCCCATAATCTGCACTTTTATATGACATTTAAAGAATGTCACTAGTTTCTCTTCCCTCTTTTTCACATTAATGAGTATGGAAGATTTGAAAAACTTCAGAAGTGCTTTGAGATTATTTTTTTTAATGTTGCCTTGATTAGAGGGAATTTTAAAGTATTACAATCAATCATATCAAATATGGATGTAGGTCTCTTGGAAAAACAAACTGAAATGTTATATTTAAACTCTTATTTTGATTTGTGATCATTTCTCAAAGGGTTTGTTGTTCTGTTCATAAGTCTTGGTCTTAGAACTATTGAAACTTGATGACTTCTGTGATTAGTTACAGCTACAAAGGCAACTTGTGGAAATCTTGGAGAGCTGGAATGTTGAATTAAAGAACAATGTGTATAATGTAATGGACCAAGTTTTAGTTAATGACAATGTACGTGTGTTTAGTCTTAAAGGAATGATACTGTAGCAGTTTCCTTGTATTATTAAGTTCATGTCTAAAAGGTAAACAGAGGAAAAGTCTGTATATTAAAACGTGTCGAAATTTGTTAAAGCTCCGGAATAGTAATCTTTTGGCTCGACGCCGAGGAATTCCAGAATGTATTCTTCTGGTCACTCAGCGAATCACAAAATACCCTGTCTTGGTGGAGAGGATACTGCAGTACACAAAGGGTGAGTGATGATTTCTGGAACAAGCATTTGCCTTTGTCATTAGTTTTAACTATAACTGACACTTAAAGCAGCAGTGGTTGATTCCTCCTTAGGGCACTGCCATGTGTATTATAATAGAACTATGTATAGTGGCTACTTTTTCAAAACTAGATCTCCAGATCTTTCTTCCCAGGCACTTCTGGGTGGACTTGAACCTCCCACCTTTTGATCAGCAGCTGAGCACATCAAACGACTTAAAATCTATCAACCATTGTGGGCAAACTCAGGGTTTTCATTATGAGGAAGCTGTTAAAACTTTTTTGTTGTTAGGTGCCCTTGAGGACATTCAAGTCCTCATAGTAACTCTGTGAACAACACCTAGGAACCTTGCTCTACTCTGTGCCATCTTCATCATCTCTGATGTACTTGAGTCCTTTGCTACAGTCACTGTGTCAATCTAGTTCATTGAAGGTCTCCCTCTCTTTCTCTGATCTTCTTTCTTAACATGATATCTTTTTCCAAGGACTAGTCCCTCCGAACAAGATGCCCACAGTATGTGAGACAAGATTTCACCACCCTTGCCTCTGAGGAGCTCTCTGTTTGCACTTCCTCTGAGTTTGCCCTTTTGGCAGTCCATGGGCTCCATTCAGTCCTCCTCTCCAATACCACAATTCAAAATCATTGATTCTGCTGTCATCTTAATCATTGTCCAACTTTCAGATGCATATGGAGCCATTGAAAATATCGTGGCTTCAGAACTTGGGATTAGTTTTGAGAAGTTATATAATGTGACTTAGCCAACAGTTTGGATTTTTCCAAGCAGCCAGAACTAAGTACATTTTTTCACACTGTTCCTCTACCTCTCTTTTCCACATCTCCACGTATTTTGACCTTTCTAGTACTTCCTCTTACTTGCCTCCTATTACCTTCACAGCAATCTGGTGTGAATAAAAATATACCATTTTACTTCTACCAAATTAGCTTTATTATATTGAGAAAGAATATATAAAACAATGGATCAAATTTTAGATCATATTAATTCAGCAAGTTCTAGAAAATAACATAACATTTGGCTACTCTAAGAAGCATCAGAGAGGTGGACAATGACTAAGGATGATAGAAAGAGAATTGATGCCTTTGAGCTGTGGTGCTGGAGAATAGCATTGAATATTCCATGGACTGCTAGGACAACAAACAAGTTCATCCTGGAGAGGGTGAGACCAGTCTGCTGATTGGAGGCAAGGATTCTGAAGCTTCCTCTGACATACTTTGGACATGTTGCAAGGCAGGATCAGTCCTTGGAGAGGGACAGTGTGGGAGAGGAAGACCCTCTGTGAGGTGGATTGATTCAGTGACTGGGGTAATGGGGATAGGTTTGGCAGAGACAGTGAGATTGGCACAGGATGGAGCAGAGTTTAGGACTGTTGTATATAGGGTCGCTATGAGTCACAGGTGACAGCACAGAACAATAACAGCAAGAAGAAGCTATTATAAGTGACTGTAGAGTTAGCTCCTTGAGGGTGGTATGAGAGAAGATACTTGTCCTATGCAGTGGCTAATACAGAATAAGCTCCCAATAAAAAAAAAATCTACAGAGCATTGGTGGCCTAATGACAAGAAGCTGTGCTGCAGTCCCAAAGGCACGCAGTTCAAACTCACCAGCTGCTTCATGGGAGAAGGATGGACAGTCTCCTCTGGTGTGATTACTGCTTCTCAATACCTGCTGGAGGGTCAGCTATGAGTTGTTTTTGACCCTATGGTACACAACAACAACTGCAGTGAATGAATAAATAAAACTACCTATGGCTCAAGCTAAGGAGCTCTGGTGGCCTCGTGGCAAGAAGGTGCCCTGCAATCCTGAAGGCATGTGATTGGAGTCCACCAGTTGCTCTGTGAGAGAAAGATGGGAAAATCTGCTCCTGAGCGATTAACTGCCTCTGAAAACCCACAGGAGGGTCAGCTATGTGTTGGTGTGTTGGTTATGACTCAGTTGTATACAACATTCTGACTCGATGGTACACAACATGCCTCATGCTGACTTGATGAGTAAAAGTTAGGGTAGTCGTATATAACATTAGCAAAGGTGAGAGTGGAATTGTGTCTATTTGGGTTGCCCTCCAATGTACATGGCTCAACCACTCATAAGTTAGGTGGACTAAAGTCATGAATGTCTGTCTTCTCAACTATAATGTGAGAATAATAATCCTTATCTTTGTAGAGTATGAAGATGCAATGAGGTTGTCATTTAAAGTGCCCAGTGCAGTGCCTGATAGAAATGCTGCTGTTGTTGTGTATAGTTGAGTCAGAACCAATCCGTAGCTGAACCTCCAGCAGATTTTGAGAGGCAGTAAATGACATGGAGGAGATTGTCCATCTAGGTCCTGTGAAGCAGCTGCTGGATTCGAGTCACACACCTTTGGGGTGGCTGTGTAACTCTTTACTGCTAAGGCACCAGAGCGCCCCCGATATAAATGAGAACTCAGTATGTGGAGTTGTTGAAACTGATCAATTGATTTAGAGATAAAAAAAAAAGTAATAGCTTAAGTGTCGATTCTAGAGAAAATAAACAAACAAAATGCAACTTACTATTCTTATATCCTTTTCTTTTAAAAAAAATGAGAATGAGAAGTTGAAGGAATTAGGAAAGATCGAGTGTGGACCTGAAAACGTGGGGTAGCAGTGGGCCTGGAACAATGATGATTAATTTTATAAAACATAAGTTGCAGGAATGATACTATGAAACACAATGTGAATAGAGGAATGTGTGAAAAAGCATATTTGAATTTTGTATGCAAACCAATATAAAATAAAAATAATTTTTAAAAAGATTTTTAAAAATTGGGTCTAGGTGAGTAGAAAAGCATCATTTATTCATTCTCATTTTGTCCGTCACACTGAGAACTACATCCAGGGAGGGGTGGTAGCAGCTCTTCCTTTTGTCTCATTTTTATCCTACCCTGTAATTTAATGTGAAAGCGAATATAAACAATATAAACAGAAATGTCTTACAAATTCTGTTCCACACAAGAATTTATGTTATGTTTATATCATCTTTCTTAAGTTAAATACAACAACTTCAAAAGACTGAAAACCATCAGATTATTTCAAGTGCTGCTCCAAGAACTATCCATGTCACATTTTCCTGGTAGAATAAAAGCAGCAGCTATTTTTTTGATTGTCAGAAACTCTGACTATGACTTCAACAGTCAGTGCGGTGAGAGAAGAGTCAGCACTTTCTTTGGTCAATTTTTACAAATAGTCGCCTTTCTCCAGGACTCTCGGGAACATTGGTTCACTGTAATGTCTGTTACAGCTGAGGTTCTCAAATTTTGTTAGTTATAACTCTCCTCTGGAGATCTTGTCTCAGTTTGGAGAAAGTGCAACCATTATGCTTTTTGGAGATGAGGATGGAGAAGCTTCATCTCACATACTTTGGGCGTGTTATTAGGAGGGGCCAGTCATTGGGAAAAGGGCATCGTGTTTGGAATGGTAGTGAGTGCTGTTGTGCACCATTGAGTCAGAACGGACCCATAGCTGACCCTCTAGTGGGTCTACAGAGGCAGTAAATCACAGAGGAGGAGATTGCCCGTCCTTCTCCTGTGGAGCAGCTAGAAGATTTGAACTGCATACCTTTGTGTTGTTAGTACAATACCTTCCCAAAGGTGGAGGGTCAGTGAAAAAGAGAAAACCCTGAGGGAGGTGGACTGACACACTGATTGAAGCAATAGACCCAAGTATATCCATGAAGGCGAGGATGGCACAGGATAGCATAGGGTTCAGACCTGTTTTTCATAGTCACTATGAGTTGTAGTCAACAAAACCTGACAACAACAACAATAACTAATTAAATTCCATTTGAGCTGTTAGGGCTGTGTATTTTTCTAGTGTAGTACAGTCTGTGAAAATAATTTGTCTGTGAAAGTTAAAAAGCCCTTATGGCTTTTACCATAAAATATAGCCCCAATTCATTTTCCCCCACACCCATCTAAGTTTACTATGTTTTTGGTTTTTTTAAATAATTTTAATGAACATTTACAGAGATTTTGAATTTCCATTCATTCATTGCTACACTTCTCTCCCTGCCCAGCTCCCCCCACCACAGTTCGCTCCTCTCTTTCAAAAGTAAAAGAAAGACTCCCTCCCTAGTACACAATCCCCCCACACCCCTCCCACCGCCCCAAGTACATTCCACTATGCAACCTTAATTGTGGACTTTTGTGATAGCCATAATACCCTATCTTACTGTTTATAAAGAAGAATAATCTTTTTGTGGTAGGGACTTAGTGTCCTGGTGTAGTAAAATATGAGGTAAATTCTTTCACAAATGGTGAGAAAGAAAATAGCTTCCTTGTTAAAGACATGTATCAGGGTCTGACCAAACCCACGTTCATGCGTTTAAGACGTGAGGGCCTGGGAATGTTTACAGCAGGCTAGGATTTGCTCTTCTTCCCCTGACTGCTATTTCTAAGTGTTTGTTTCTGCTGCTCCGAACATTCAAGGACCTTTCATTTTTCTCTGCTGAAGCACATTTGATAATGTAGATTTTGTATAAATACAAATGGTTAAAGGTTCTTTTTTGGAGAAGGTACAGAGTGATATATAGAATTTATAATTAATCCCAAATTTTCCTCAAGAGATTTGTGATGATAGATTTGTGTATATAAAAAGAAAGAAAAAAAAATCTCTAGCATTTGACTTTCTTATATAATTCTTTTTTGCTTACTCCACCCCCCCCCCCAATTATTTCCATCTTATAGAAGGAAGTGAAGAACACAGAGATCTATGCAAAGCACTTCACTTGATTAAAGACATAATTGCTGCAGTGGACTTGAAAGTCAGTGAATATGAGAAAAACAAAAAATGGCTTGACATCCTAAATAAGATTGAAAATAAAACCTACACGAAGCTCAAAAATGGCCATGTGTTTAGAAAGCAGGCGCTGATAAGTAAAGAAAGGACTCTGCTCCATGATGGCCTTGTTTATTGGAAAACAGCTACAGGCCGTTTCAAAGGTATCGTGACTTTAACAAACTTATTTCTCCTTTTGCACATGCTATTGAGGTAGCAAAGGACTGAATTCCTCAAAGAAAAATGGTCCAGAGGGGCAGGCCTTTGTGAACTCTGAAAGATTCTTGCAGGACTAAGCTGTGAAATTCAGTAGAAAAAAATGTGGCCAATGCTTGAAATTTCTGCTGGGAGTTTGTGCACTCAAAGAAACATCTTCAGATTTATTTTGTAAATCTTTAAGTTTGTGATGATTTTAATCATAACTTAAAATTCTACTAGTTGGTGGCCCAGAAATGTCTGGTCAATGTGAAGGCTGAAAAGGAGGAAGTATGCCTACCCAGAAAACTTGTTTTGTGTGCCAAGTCAACCCCGGGTGTCCGAGACAACTGGTGAAAATAATGAAAGGGATCTTAGGACTAGCCGACTAAATGAATACAACATAATGAACAATGCTCACACTGATAGTGTTCTTCAGTGCTATTGTTTGCTAACAGGCATTTATTTATTCTGTTAAAATTATTATAATATCCCTTTAAATGTATTACTAAAAAAGTAAATAATTTTTTTTAAAAAATCACCCAGTTTCTATTACAGCAACCCCATATCATATGTATCAGAGTAGAACTGTGCTTCATGGAGTTTTTAGTGACAGATTTACTGGAAGAAATATAGAATCACAAAACCTTCCTTAGATAGAAATAAAACAAAATAGTAGGTTTGCAGATACGACTGAAGTTACAGGCTGCTTGCTAATATTTTTCATGAAGTACTTTTTTAAGAGGTGAGATCCTTTCCCATTCTATTGTTGTTAGCACTACCGAGTTCAATTCATGACACACTTCCCTCACCCTAAATATGTGTGTAGAATAGAATGTTTACTCAGGAATTTCAAGGACAGAACATTTTTGTAAACTGATCACCAGGCCTAACTTACGATGCACTTCTGGGTGGGTTTAAGCCATCAACCTTTCAGCTAGTCAGGAGCTTAAATATTTATTCCACTTCTTGCTGTTCTAATACAGCGTATTTTTTTAAACAAAATTTTTCCTTTTTCAATGCTAACACTACATCTTTTAAAAATTATTTTATATTGGCATGCATACAAAACTCATATATGTATTATGTTTCACTATTCTTCATTCACATTGCTAACATTATATCTTGATGGAGATTGAAATATCACTAAATTTACATATACAAATATACACAGTTGAACACAATTTGTTGTTGTTGTGTGCCATTAAGTTGCTTGAGAATCATAGCAACACTATGTACAATAGCTCTGAACCCTGCCCTGTCCTGAGCCAGTCTCATTGACTCTTACACACCAAACCCCATTGCTATAGTCTCTGTGTCAATCCATCTCATCTGGGGTCTTCCTCTCCTGCACCGTCCCTCTACCCTTCCAAGCATGATGTCCTTCTCCAAGGATCAGTCGCTCCTGGCCATAAACCCAAAGTATGTGAAATGGAGCTTCAAAATCCTAGCCTCCAAGGAGAAACTTGGTTTCACCCTCTCCAAGACAGACCTATTTGCGTTTTGGCAGTCTGTGGCATGTTCATATATCTTTGGTTATTATAGTACAGACATTTCTGGAAAGAAAGTATAGACTAATGTGTCTTTTTCTATATTTTACAACTATATTGATATTGGATTGATGTCAAATCAGAACCAACTCCTTGCTGACCTTCTAGCAGGTAATCAGAGGTTGTAAATCACCTGGGAGGAAATTGCCCATGTTTCTTCAGTGAAAGAATTGGTGGATTCTGATCGTCTGCCCTTGGGTTGGCAGCACAACTCCTTGCCACTAGGCCACCAGGGCTCCCTTTTATATATATTACACTTATTTACATTTCAACCATGAGATCAGCATACTTAACAAATTAAAATTATGGCTTGCTTAATTAATACTTGTTATTTTTTTTTCTTTGAAGATATTCTAGCCATCCTTCTAACTGATGTGCTGCTCTTCTTACAAGAAAAGGACCAGAAGTACATTTTTGCAGCTGTTGTAAGTTTAATCGCACATTTCTGAAGGTCCTCGTGAAATAAAATGGCCACTAACAAGGATACTTGTTCTATCCCCACGAATATTGTTGGGATTGCACTGCTTATTATGTTTATATATTAACTTACATAAAACGTTAATATATGTATTATTTGGGGTGTCATTGTTTAGAAACAAGCAACTAACTGATTTGAGTCAGCACAAAAAGTGATGGTTTATTGCAGCCAGAATTTAATCAGTTGTGAAACTATTGAAATACTTCCATAATGGTTGGCAAAAAGCATTGCCCTGAATATTCCAATGGCCCCTTTTGTGTCTTGGCTGCCTTGCTCTTCCCTCCAGGATTCTCACCCCTCTCCCAGACTTCCTTCAGGTCTAGGAATGAAAATGTTAATGCTGACCAGCAGGGCCACTTCTGAGGCCACCGAGGCCCCAGAAGTTGCTAATTCTATGCGTAACTGTTATCACCTTCCATCTATCTGGCAAACAAGGAAAGCACATCCTGCTGTCTAGCATTTAAAGAAGATTCTTTGTTACTTCTACTGTGATTGCTACTAATGACTGAAGTGCTCCTGTGACATTCATCTTTATAGAGTGCTAGATTAATCTCATTACCAGCAGACTTAGACTGGTGATATTACAGCTATCATAATATTTCATATACACCATCTGTGTGATTACAAAGGAATGACTTACTTAAATTGAAAGGTTTATTTAAATCAAGGGATTAATTCTTTGTCAACCTCATAAAATATCAGGGTTGTTAGAGACTTGTGGATACAAAACCCAATGCAGACAGTATAATAGTGATTCATAAAAATGCTAGTATTTGTCATCTATTGATTGATAGTATACCCAGGTGCCGTAACTTCTTACTGATGAGTGAAGATTCTGAATTTTAGTGACTCTCCACACAACAATGATATCCAGGTATCAGAGCTTCTTGTTGTTAGTAGGGGCTTCCTAGTTGGCTTTCAATCTTAGCTTAACCTCATTTTTCCATTCACTATGTCAATTGTGTTGAAGGTCTTCCTCTCTTTTACTGATCTTTAACTTTCCAAACTGTGAGCTCAGCTTCCACCGACTGGCCTGCCTGATAACATGCCCAAAGCGTAGGAGATGAAGTCTCACTTTTCTTGCTTCTCAGAAATACCATCATTTTAATTCCTCCAAGACAGATTTGCTTGTTCATTTGACAATGTGTGTTTATTGTCATCATTATTCTCTAGCATCACAACTGCAAGGCATCTTCAGGCTTTTTCATTTATTGTCCAGGTTTCACATACATTCTAAAACAGTTGGCAATACCATGGCATGGGTCAGACACACTTTAGTCTTTAAAGTGACTTTCTTATTCACAAGTAAATCTGTTAGCAGCAGATTTACCCAATGTAATATGTTGTTTTATTTCTTGACTACTACTTACATGGATCCAAGTAAAAGTAAAGACTTGACAGTTTCAATCTTGGCTCCATTTATCAGGATCTTGCCTGTTCGTCTAATTTTGAGGATCTCTATTTTCTTTATGATAGTGTTGTTATGTGCTGTCGAGTTGACTGCGACTCATACGACCCTATGTATAATAGCTCTGAAGCCTGCCCTCTCTTAAGCCAGTCTCATTGTCTTTGATACACCAACCCCCACTATCCCAGTTACTGAGTCAATTCATTTCATCCAGAGTCTTCCTGTCCTGTGCTGTCCCTCCATCCTTATAAGCATGCTGTTTTTCTCCAAGGATCTCCTGGCCGTGTACCCAAAGTATGTGAGACAGAGCTTCAATATCCTACCCTCCAGGGAGAAACTTGGTTTCATCCTCTCAAAGACAGACCTGTTTGTTTTCTTGGTGGCCCATGGTATGTTCAAGACTCTTCACCAATTTTCTTTATGTTGATGTATATTTCTTACTGAAGTCTGTAGTCTTGCTCTTCAGTAAGTGTTTCATGTCCTCCTCACTTTTAGCTAACAAGGTTCCATGGGAAATACCATCAACCCCAACTAGCTTTGAAAAATTTAATACTTCAAGAAATTTCTTCTGTGAAGTTCTGAGAAACCAGTTAGCTGGTCAGCTTGGTGAAGGGATTCTTAGGAGGCAGAGCACAAAAGTGGTACTTCACCTACCGGTCTCTGCTTGTAAGGTTTGTGTGATAGCAGCTTTGTCGTTCTCAGCACATTGCTTCTCATCAGTAACCTAAAGCCGAGTTGTAAAAAAAAGTACTTATTTCTTTACAGAGCAGCACAAAGTTAAGAAGAGACTGTGAGCATGTCTCCATATCCCTCATCCATTTTAATTAATTGGAAAATTTAATGAAAATGGACTGCCTTGGCCCAGCAGCCTCGCTGTGCTGTGACCTGGGATGCTCTGAAAGAACAGAGAAAGACCGGAAGTGGAAAGCTGGGGACCTTTGTGACAGTGAGGACCATCAGACCCTATAGAAACAAAAGAGTCTCCAGAATCAAAGGCTTCAAAAGGAAGCAACTCTTACTTCTGGGATGGGGTTACAGCGCAAGTCGCCAGCAGTCTGATTGCTCCAGAATTGACCATAGAGTAAAGACAGCTCGTTTGTTTTCTATGATAAAATATCATGTGGATTTCGATCAAGTTGTGATATTGACGTTTTTGTGTGATTTGATACAATTGTGCTATGCTTTTTGGCCTCTTGAGTTATTCATGCCACCTGCAGATGACATTTACCAGTAAGCAGGACATTATGAATTTAGTCCACATTATTCTGGAAGGAAAGGCAGCAACAACTTAGCTCTTGCACTTGGTTAAATATAATCAAATATAGGTGACAGTGAAATGATGCCGCTTCTCTTTTTTCTGAATTAGCTATACTGACAATTTATGAAGGCCAGCAAAGCCCTCGATAATGTCATGAGGCAGAAAGAACCTAATGACACTTGCCAACAACAACTACTTTCTATCCCTTATCTATTATTCAATTAAAAAAGTCTCTTACCCTACCATCTCCCCTCCAATACTAACCAATTGGTTCTACTATTGATAAAATTCTTAAGTAAATCAAACCCATTCTGCTTCCTTATAGGCATAGACCTTAGTACCTTTTAAGCTGAAGAAGCTAAAAATGTAATTTGGAACAAAGAATACAGATAAAGTCTTGGATGACCAGTTAAAATCAAGTCAGTTTCCAATTATAGTGATTCTAGGTGTAACAGAGCATAAAAGGCCGTGTTTCACATAGTTTATTATTCAGAAGAAGATGGCCTGGGTGGACTTGAACCTCTAATCTTTTACTAATAGACAGGCTCATTAAGAATTTGCGCTATCCGGGAGCTCCAAAGTCTTGGATAATAGATCTGTAACAGTTTAAAGATATTCTGAGAAGGTAACCACTAAGAAGCTTTACCACAAAGTCTTTTGCTTCCATTTTTAGAGATACAGCAGAGGACTAAAAAGACCAGAGAGTTTTGACCTCTCATCATATTCTTTTAATGCTAGGAGAGCAGAGACCAGCACTATGGAGCTGGCAAAGGGGAGGGGGATGAGAATAGCATACTCAGGGTAATGGCGTCTCTCAGTCCATGAGGGCAAAACAAAACCACAAACAGCAACCAAGCCTGTAAACAGAGGGAGAAGCCACAAACCAAAGAAGATTCTTCATAGCTGCCCCTGAAGCTGTTCGTGCTGCTGGTTTTCAGAATACATTTTTTTGGAGCATTCTTTCAGTTACAACTACAAATCAGTCGTCTTTCGGCTGAAACGACAAATCCATGTCTTGTCCACCTTTGATTTCTGCCAAGCTTACAACAGTACGTTAAAGGAGCCTAGTAAATGTTGATTGATGAGATGATTTAATTATGGCTTGGGTTAAAATGTTAGAATCTCACTGCTATTTGTTAAAACGGTCCTTTTCCTCTTCAATATAAATGTTAATTCTATTTCTACAGGCATGATTTGAGTGCCTACTCTAAACAGGCAGTGTGCTGGGCTGCATGGATGGGTTAGGAGAGTTTCCATTGACTAAAGGCTCCCCTTGGTGGGGAGAAGAGACATTTAGAGTACAATCATAGAAGTTTCTTTTGCCACAAACTATGCCTGAGTAAAAGGAGTTGTTAGTTATGCCAGAGGACTCCAAGGTCTTAGCTTTTACAGTCCACCCCTCTGTGTTTGTGTACACTCTGTATGCTGGAGAAGAGTACTAATATGCCATGGACTGCCACAGGAACAGAGATGTCTTGGAAAAAGTGCAGCCAGAGTGAGAGCTCCTTGCAGGCAAAGATGGAGAAGCTTTGTCTTTCGTGCTTTGGACATAGAGCTAGGCGAGCTGTCCTTTGGGAAGGGACGTCACGCATGGAAAGATGGAGGGTCAACGGAGAAAAGAAAGACTTCCAAGGAGGTGGATTGACACGGTGACTTCAGCAATGAGCTTGAGTGTGTTGGAGATGATGAGGCAGGGACCATGAGAGAGTTCAGGTCGGCTGTTCATAGGGTCACTCTGAGTCATATTCAACTTGACGGCAACTAATAACAACAACATTAACAGCAGCTACCCCTATGTTTGGGCTTCTGTTCCTACCACTATATTGAAACTGCATTCCTGTTAACCTGAAAATCCCGTGAGCTCTTCCAGGCTTGCTTATCTCCTGCCCTTCCGGGAAAATCCCTCCACCTTTGACCACTGCATTTTGACCTTTCCTGTACCTCTTTGATTGTTTTTAAAAAAGTTATTTTTTTTTATAGCACCGTTATTTAAGAACAAATGTCCCCTTATGTCTTTTTTTGTCCCCATCATTTTTTCCTCCAAGCCCCTGCCTCTTGAATATCTTGTTGATTTCTATAACTCCTTTGAAAAGGTTGGAAGTAACATAAATATTTGTCTGTTACTGTTATTTTCCTGCTCTGTACAGAGTTGCACTGTCCAAATCCACCAGCAGCTCTGTGGAAGAAAGATGAGTAATCCCTCCCCATGCTCTTTGCAGCCTCTGGAAAGCCAGTGGAGGGCCAGCTATCAGCCAGTCCCTACTTGCTGGCAATGCCTTTGAGTTTTGTTTGTGTTGCTTTGCGTAACCAATGTCTTTTGTGACCCTTGCCTTAGATAGGGTGCTGTTTCAGCTGCCCATCTTTGCGTTTTCTGTAGGACCAGAAGCCGTCAGTCATCTCCCTGCAGAAGCTCATCGCCAGAGAAGTTGCGAATGAAGAGAGAGGAATGTTTCTCATCAGTGCTTCAACTTCTGGCCCTGAGATGTATGAAATTCATACCAATTCCAAAGAAGAACGAAATAACTGGATGAGACGGATCCAACAGGCTGTCGAAAGGTAACACTTCCTGGTGTCTGTTTTCTGTGGGATGGTTTTGGCCAGTTGGGGACAATATTCTAACCGTGTCTTCTCTGCATGAAAACTCTGCCTCAGCCAGAACGGCCCGCTCAGTGCTCCCTGCACCTGCCTGCGATAGCCCCGCCTCTGCAGCTTTGCCCTCCGAACTCCCTGCATGTAATGCCCTCACCTCCCCTCTGCCTGCCTGAGTCCTGCCTGTCTCTGGTGAATCTCACAACTCTCCTCCTTCACGAAGGCCTCTTCAGTCACTGTGGGTTCTTCCTTATCTGTAGTTCTTCAGCACCTGCTCTTAAAATGGTTATTTGGTGCTTGTCATATATGACCACGAGTGCTTATCTTTTTTAAAGTGTGTGCATGCTTATGTGCAAATAGATTGAAAGCTCCTTGAGGGGAGGTCCATGTTTTTCTGTCTCTGTGTGCCTAGCATTTTAGGAGTCATTCAATAAATGTTTTTCATGCATTTGGTGGATCTGAGTATTCTAACTTCATTTACTTGTCATTTGTATGAAGCCCATTTATATGAAACTGGATGAAGGTTGAGAGAAGTTATTCCTAGCGGTGACTTGAGTAGTTGATTTTGGAGTATATGAAGGTCCTTCCACCTTATTGCACTTCACCAAATCTAAGACTTATTCCATCTTCTCAAACTCTTCTGGTCTACTTCCATTAATAGTGGTGTCGTTAGGTGCTGTGGAGTCAAGTATGACTCATAGTTACCCAGTGAACAGTAGATCTAAGCCCTTTCCGATCCTGTGCCACCCTTACCGTCTCTGTTATACTTGATGTCATTGCCACGGACACTGTGTCAGTCCATCTGACTGAGAGCCTTCTTCGCTTTTCACTGACCCTCTAGCTTTCCAAACAAGAGCCCCTCCTAGCAGCATGCCCAAAGTAAGTGAGATGAGGCTTCACTGTCCTTGCCTCTAAGAAGCACTCCATTAATAATAGAATTACTCAAATAAGACAGAAAACAGAAAAAAAAATCTTAGTTGTTTATACCTTATACTTAACCTTAATACTCCATATCACACACTTTGGGGATATTGTAAAGAGGGGCCAGTCCTTGGACAGGATGTTATGCTTGGAAGGGTAGAGGTCAGTGCTAGAGAGAAGGCCTTGGATGAGATTAATTAACACAGTGACTGGGGCAATGGGGTCAAGTATGTTGGGCAAGAGTCAGAGCCATTGTTTATGGGATTGCTACGAGTCGTAGTTGACTTGACAGCATATAACAGCAATGACAATACCAAGGCATGGTATTGTAGAGAGAGTATATGTGTGTGTGTCTGTCTCTCTAACACTTGTTGGCCTATTTGTGTTATAATATCCGCAATAAGGGATATACCTTTAACTTGCTGGTCTGTCTGATACTTCTCTAAATCTGAACATTCACACTGAGACAGAGTAGGAAGAAGGATTGGCCATCTACTTCTGAAATAGCAGGCCTCTGAAAACCCTATGTAAAACAGAACACATTTGTTTGTTGTTCTTATGTGCCATCGAGTCGTTTCCGACTCATAGCGACCCTATGCAGAAGAGCTCTAAACCCTGCTCTATCCTGCGCCAACCGCACCGCCTCTGACACACCTATCCCGATTACCCCAGTCACCGAATCAATCCATCTCATAGAGGGTCTTCCCCTCCTGCGCTGTCCCTCCACCCTCCCAAGCATG